GATGGCCATGCCAACGTGTCGAACTCGGCATGGGCTATAGGATTTGTGGCCAATCCGTAACGGTCACAGCTGCCAACACCCAGCGGATTGCTGCCATCGGCTGCCAGCGCTGCGAGTTCACGGCTAGGTGCAGTAGATGCTGCCAGCGCAACACCTGCGATGGAATCTGGCATCTCAAGATGCCCTTGGGAAGCTTCTCGACCAGACCATCGCATGCTAGCATGCGATGGTCTTTTTTGGCTTTCAAGAACCGTGCGCGGCTCGGGTAGGGGGTCGGCCCACGTTTCTTGTTCATCCGTTTGTTGTCGCTGCATCATTTTAGCGTTCCAGTACTGTCTTCCCAACAGAAAATCCCTCGCGATGTCGAACCTCTCTAACAGAGCCTCGGGCATAAGTCCGCCGAGGCGATTTTGTAGGCAGAGACTCAGCCATGGCGGCCCGTGCTGTTAGCGGCATCTCAGTTTTGCGAACCCATCGTCCACCCCACGGTAGTCAATTTCTTCTCCGTCCGTTTCCGTCGATTCCTCCAGCACCACCTGCGCCGCCAGCACCGCCTGCGCCTCCCGCGCCTCCTGCACCTCCTGCCCCACCTGCTCCTCCCGCACCTCCCTATACATCATTTCCGAGTGCAAGTCGTCCCGAGGAGTGGGACAACTACTGGCAGGACGATGATGAGCTAGACTGGGAAGATGCTGCCGATGGAGAGCCAGAGCCACCCCCGACACTTCCTCGTGTCATTGTTCCATCTTTCCCTCAGCCCATTCGTCGTCCCCACATGCCGCGAGTTAACCGGGATGCTGCACCTCCCTCCCCCAGACATCGCAGGACCAGCCGCAAGAGAGTCTCGCGCACAGCGGCGGAAAAGCTATACTGGTTGGCCCATCTCGACTCCGACCCGAAGCTTTCGAATCGCAAGCTGGCGAAGATGGCCAAGGTACAACCCTGTCAGATACGCGACTGGAAGAAGAACAAGGCACGGCTGTCGGCGGCGGCGGGATGCAGGCGTCGTCTCATCGGTGCTGGACGCAAGGCGAAGTTCCCCGACATGGAGAAGGAGATGTACAACCGCTTCCTCTCACACCGTGCGCGCGGCTTGGCGGTGTCGGTGAGTTGTCTGCAGAAGTGGAGTAGGAAGTTCATGCGGAAGCGCCATCCCGGTGTCGACTGGCGTGCGTCATCCCGTTGGACCTTCCGGTTCCGCACGCGTTGGGGATTGACACGGCGCGTCAAGACAAAGATGGGCCAGCGCCTAACCAGCGGTGCGTTGTGTGCTTGATATGCAAGGTCTTTAGCAATTTCGCTTGCGGTTTCCTATTCATTGAGCTGTAAGAACTTAAGCATAAGCATGTACACTCACATCGTTTATTGTCTTCTCGTTATGCAGATTGCGAGGCTAAAGTCGAGAAATTCTGGGAGTTCGTACGCCAGATGCGCACAGTCAACAAATATGACGATGACTTGATTATCAACGCCGATCAGACGCCCTTGTTCCTCGAAATGCCCCAAGAGACTACATTAGAAGTCCGCGGTTCAAGGACGGTACATGTTCGGACTGCTGGCTACGAAAAGGAGCGGTTGACCGTGATGCTGGCGGTCACTGCTGGCGGCCAGAAGCTGAAGCCGTATGTCATCTTCAAGCGCAAGACGCTCCCCAAGATTCGAGTCCCGCCAGGTTAGTATCGATTGGGTATTGATGTCAGTAAGTGTTTCATGTACCGGAGTTAGAAACTAATTGTAAGCTTTTTGGTTCGTTCATGATTGCATGCAGGAATCGTCATCCGCGCACAGGAGAAGGGATGGATGGATGAGGACCACGTGAAGGACTGGATTACGACGGTCCTTGTCCCCTTTCTGAAGCGACTTCCTGCACGCCGTGGCGGGCGGCAGAAGGCTCTCGTTGTCCTCGACTCCTACAAAGGCCATCTGACTGAGGGGGTGGCGGCGTTGATGCGTCTATTCAAACTCTCACGTGCCGTCATACCTGGCGGCTGCACGCCAATCGTCCAACCTCTCGACGTAGCTGTGAACCGCTGCTTGAAGGCTCACGTCCGCCGGTCCTACTCAGGTTGGTTTGAGGAGTTCGGCTGCGACGCGACAACTCCCGCAGGTGATACCCTTCATATCCTTGAGCTCTGCTCTTCATACGTTCTTGTTTACCGTTTGCTTTACGACGCGTTGACGTGTTGCTCAAGTTCTCGCTTCGGTTTGCCTAATGCGCGATGTAATCGGTACCCAACCCTGTCCGCCCTTCAGGAAATCTGAAAAAGCCTCCGGCAGAGGTGGTGCTGCAGTGGATCGCGGCCGCCTGGGAGGCAGTCCCTACCGACCTCATCCGCAAGGCTTTCAAGACCTGCGGCATCTCCAACGACCTCGATGGCCTTGAAGACGACCTCATACTCGCCCACATGCGCAACAACGCGGAGCTGGAGGTCATGGACGATGTGCACGCGGAGGTTGAGACGACCGGGGAGAAGACAAATCCCCTCTTCGAAGCCGAGTTCGTAGAGCCGACCGCCGACGAGCTCTCCGAGGACGAGGAGTGTGACATCACTGTCAACGTCGACCTGCCGCAGCATGCACCGACACATGGCGTCGATGTGGCGGAATCGTCTGCGATGGCGGAGGCTCGACTTAACGCTGCAGCAGCTGCAGCATCAACATCGACAACACCAGCAGTAGCTGCAACTGCACCTGAAGCGGCTGACACTACAGAGAGCAGCGATGTGGACTCCGCAGAGATGGCGCCAGCGGCGGAGGTACTTGCTGGACTGGCCGCCTCCCGATGGACTGAAGAGTACGATTGGGACGATATTGCATCCGACGATGATGATGTAGAGGCTTGGCACGCTGGAGATGAGGATGACGAGGAGTATTAGGTAGTGAATGATGTCTCTAATTTCTAACTTAGACATGATCTAGGCCTTGCGCTACTCACTGGATGCTATTCTTGTAGGCAACAATGATTAGGAATTCAAGCGTGTTGTAACGCTGCTGTAGTAATAGGATGCATATGGTAGAATATACAATTGTTTTAGTGTACTCCAAGTAATAAAAATAGGGGGGCGTTATGTATAATTCGTCGCCTGAAAAGCGGGTACTCTAAAAAATGCACCATATCATAAGCTCCCCCCCGTATTAACCACCCACGGAGTGACTATTCCTGCGGGTGTTATATCCGGGGGATTACGGTACAAGGGAGTATAACCTAGTGGGTTGTAATCTCTAAGGCACAACCCTGTGTAGTCTGTAACGACATACAAGGATATGTTTGACACAAGGTAATTGATAGTTATGGGATGTGTGCCCTTGTCAATTGAATTGACAACACAATTAGTGACCATTATTAGTTTGAGGCAACTGCACGTGCCAAGCAGTTTTCCATGACATGTTTCCCATGCAACGTGTTTGTATGCACAAGCAATGCTTCTAAGGGCGGGTCCAAATAGTTCCATTGGGGGTTTTGGACACGTTTTTACGAACTTGGGTACGACAACTGAAAACGATCCCAAAATCATTTCCTCCCCAAACCGCGTCCCATATTGCGAATGAAACAGAAGCTGGCGCCAACTAAAAGCGTCCCAAAAAACGGTTTGCGTCAGTCGCCCCAAATCGCAGTTATCAAATGCCGCAGCTCGCGAAACAGATGTTTCGTGCTGGGTTAAGTGGCAGGTGTGATTTGGCGTTGCGCCACGCGAGATGTTCGCAAGGTCGCCTTGTTCTCGCCAAGCCTGGCTTGGCGAAACCCCAAAGCGCTACACGTGTCCACCGATACCAAAACATAAACCCAACGTCACCAAAACGTAAACATAACATCACCGAATCGTAAACAAATCATGTGCATTCACATGGGTCGAGCGTCCCGAGTTACTGTTCAAATTATATAAGTTATAATTTAATATAGGCTTGGTAGGTTGTTACTGAACCTTTCTGTAGGGGGTACAAACCCCTCCTTGTACTCCCCTCTCTTCTAATCCAACACCTTTTCTCTCCTCAACTTTCCTAGCACCTAAAACCTCTCGCCATTCTCATGGCTCCTCCTAGCTCCTAGCTAAACCTTGTGCCATTCTATGGCTTCCTAGCTAAGCTAGTTTCTGACATGGTATCAGAGCAGTTCGTTCCGCGTGGGCCTGCTCCTCGCGTTTCCGCTGCGTGCTCGTTTCTCTCTCTATCTCGCGCTGCCATGGCGGCCGCGTCAAGCTGCTGTGGCCGCGTCGTCGTGCCGCGGCGCCGCCGTCGACGTCCATGGCGCCCGCGTCCAGCTGCTGTGGCCGCGCCGTCGTGCCGCAGCTCCGCCGTCGTGTCAAGATGCTGCCGCGACGTGACGGCGCCGTCACGCTGCCGCGGCGTCTACGCGACAGCGCGCGGTCGCCGTAACGGCAACGTCGTGCTGCCGTCGCAACGTCGACGCCCCGCTGCGGCATCGACGCCGCTCCATGACGGCGTCGTCGGGCTGCAGCCGGCCGCGTGACGCTTGTGGCGCCGCTAGACCGGCCGCCCGCATGTCAGCCTGTGGCGCCCCCCCCCCCCCACCCCCCTCCTTCCCTTGTGCCCTCTTCCATTCCGCAGACGACGGCTGACTCCCGCCGGCCGTCCCACCGTCGCGGGGCCTGGCCACGTCACCGAGAGGTGCGGGTGCCGCCGCCGCCGCCGCTGTCGACACTGCCGCCGCTGCCGCCGTCGCCGCCGCAGCCCCTGCGGTCGACGTCGCCGCCTCACGCGCCGTGGGGTCGACCGACCTAGAGTCGCTGTCACTGTGGCTGGAATGGGGGTGCTAGGTTAGGGGGTGTGGGTGTGTGTGGGCATGTGACTACCAAGCCTAGGGGGTGTGTTCAAATTATATAAGTTATAATTTAATATAGGCTTGGTAGGTTGTTACTGAACCTTTCTGTAGGGGGTACAAACCCCTCCTTGTACTCCCCTCTCTTCTAATCCAACACCTTTTCTCTCCTCAACTTTCCTAGCACCTAAAACCTCTCGCCATTCTCATGGCTCCTCCTAGCTCCTAGCTAAACCTTGTGCCATTCTATGGCTTCCTAGCTAAGCTAGTTTCTGACAGTTATATCAATTTCACGCACGTGTCCCCGCGAAATCCAAACGAGGTTAAAATCGGGTTACTTTTCACGAAATAAATAGAGGATGAATTATTGGGACCCCCCCTAAGCTTTAGTATGTGTCCAGCCTGAAACCAGACCAGAGCCACGCAAACCCATCCCGCTGCACTTCTGTCATGCCTGAGCCGTTGCTGAAACTGCTTTGTGCCTGACTTCAAGGTAGAGGTTTACATCCCATTCTCCAATACGCACAAGAACTGCCTTGCACATAGAGCCCTCGACTAGTCCTCCGTTTGGACGCTACCCTCACTCTTCACACACCTTGCCTCCTTGCTTGTTCCTCGGATTCTCCTTTGCTGTCGCAGTCAGCTCAGCCCTTCATCTCGTCTCCCTTCCTTCCATACCCCAATCTGAGCGCGCCTACCTGCCTACCCACCAGAGTACCTCCCCATGAGTAACACGACCCCCTTCTGGCAGCCAGAGGGATGCCAGTTTAGTAAGACGGGCCAATCGCTGCAGCCCATCATTCTTGACCGCCGTGCCATTCAGCCCAAGGTCCTCCAGGCCTGTCAGCCTCCCCACATGCACCATGCCATCACATGTCACACCCTTACAGCCACTCAACCAAAGCGTCTTCAGTGCGGAGAGGCGTGTCAGGTGCTGTAGGCCAGCATCAGTCACATTGGTGCGGCTGAGGAAGAGAAACTTCAGGCTGCTAGCTTCCCCAATGCTTTCTAGGGCACTGCATGACGCATCAGCTGCGGTGAGTTCTAGCTTCACCAGACGCGGCAGCATGTGGAGGTACCTAATGCCCGTCTCACTGAAACCTGAAGACCAACCCAAGTCAATACTATGCAGGTGGGTCATAGTGGAGACATGCCGAGAATAGCGTCTGAGAGGCAGGAGAGGCCACTCAGATCCAGATTGGTCCCTTGTGCTGCCTGGATATTCTGGGGGGATGGATGAAGAGTGAATGGGTGAAGAGGAAGGGCATGATCAGGGCTAAAAAAATCAATCAGCACTGCATGCACTGTGAGGCAGTTCATTCAGCACTCACCTGCCATATAGCCTTCCGATCTCCCTTACTCCGGTTGATTTCCAGCTCAATATTCAACTTCAGATCTGGTCTTGTATGTCGTTTCCTCCGGGCTGGCAATTCTTCCCCCGCACGTGGCAGCTGCTGCATTAACTCTTTCTCCTCCTTCCTCCGCTCATCCGTCGTCACCCTGGCCAACTCCTCCCTCAACCGTTGTTCTAGTTCTTTTATCGCTGCCAATTCCCTCTCCCGCTTGACCGACTGCCCTCTCAACTCCCTCATCTTTTTCTCCCTCTCCTCCGCCTGCCCTCTCATTTCCCTCATCTCTCTCTCCCTCTCCTCCGCCTGCCCTTTCATCTCCCTCATCTCTCTCTCCCTCTCCTCCACCTCCCCTTTCATCTCCCTCATCTCTCTCTCCCTCTCCCCCACCTGCCCTTTCATCTCCCTCGTCTCTCTCTCCCTCTCCTCCGCCTGCCCTTTCATCTCGCTCATCTCTCTCTCCCTCTCCTCCGCCTGCCCTTTCATCTCCCTCATCTCTCTCTCCCTCTCCTCCGCCTGCCCTTTCATCTCCCTCATATCTCTCTCCCTCTCCTCCGCCTGCCCTTTCATCTCCCTCATCTCTCTCTCCCTCTCCTGCGCCTGCCCTTTCATCTCCCTCATCTCTCTCTCCCTCTCCTCCGCCTGCCCTTTCATCTGCCTCATCTCTCTCTCCCTCTCCTCCACCTGCCCTTTCATCTCCCTCGTCTCTCTCTCCCACTCCTCCATCTGCCCTTTCATCTCCCTCATCTCTCTCTCCCTCATCTCCGCCACTTGTCTTCTTCGCTCAGCCTCTCCCATTTCCCTCGTCGTCACTCCCAAGGACAGCCGCTCCACCAACCCCCCCTCCGCTATTGGCAATTCCCTCTCCCCCTCCTTTGACTGCCCTCTCAACTCTCTCGTTTCTGCCGCTCTTTTTCGCTCTGTGTTCTCCGACAGCAGTGCCAATAAGCCCTTGTGTTCAGCCAAGTCCCCCTTGACTGCTGCCAACTCTCTCCCCCTCTCCTCCACCACAGCAGTGGTCCTCTCATTCCTCTCCTGCACTACACGCAATGCTTGCCTCAACTCATTCACCTCATCTTGTGAAGCCACCTTCGATTCAGCCAATTCGCCTTTCATTTCTGCCAATTCATGTCTCACAGCAGAGAAAACCCGTTTCAGTGCTTTAAACAGCTCGCTCAACTCCCTTTCTGCAACCATCCTTGCCCAGGCTGCCCACTTGAACCAATGGACCTGATGTGTGATCAATCCCCCTCCAGAGTTAACTAACCAAATCACGAGGGAGAAACTGGCGAGCAAAGGCAGACCTTGCCTGGTTTGAGAACAGAGCCGATCAGAAGTGTGAGTCGGGATACAAGACTGAAACAAAAAGGGCAGGAGAAGCCGTGTGGGCCCGCCTGGAAGAACGAGTGGACACGGAAACAACAGGAGAGGAGGGGGGGCGGGAGGGGGGGGGAGGAGGAGGAGGAGCACAGCATAAGTCAGGCACAGCAGAGGCAGGCACGGGGTAGGTTGGTCACAGGCGAGGTTAGTTATAGGCAATGTCAAGCACATGCTAGTTTGGGCGCAGGGTAGGTCAGGCACAGGCTAGGTCATTGACGGTGGGTCAGACACAGGGTACCGAGAACAGGCTAGCTAAACCACAGGGTAAGTGAGTCAAAGGCCAGGTCAGGCACAGATTAGGCTCGTCATAGCTAGGCTGGTCCCAGGTTCGGTCAGTCAGAACGTGAACTTATGAGGGCACTTTTCATTCGTTGGCGCTGTACAAATAATGCGAATATGAGGTGCGTGGTGTCTATGCTGTGAGCCCGTGCAATGGAGGGGGCGAGAAAACCAGGATGAATCCACTCAGAAAGTCAAAATCGTCGGCAGATTGGGCTCACCTGGTTTAGGGTTGTTTCATATTCGTCGCGCTGCCTAGATAGAGAGTGTGTGATGGGCTTCGCTGCAGGACGATTGGAGCACTGCGGGCTCGACACAAGCTAAAGCATGTGCTTGTTAGGAGCAGGACCGAAGGAAACAACTGTGCTAGTAGAAACGATGAGTCTACTGTATGTGCTTTAGTCTTGGTGCTTCATCGCAAAAATCAGGGACCCAGTTTCGGTAGCGATTTCTTCGTCGCGCGAACAGTAGGCGAGATCGCCTGCGCAAATTGTAGATTTCAACATATCGAATTGTATACACTGTAATTCAAATATGTTTGTCTATACTTGAAAATCAATATTTGTGGTTCTTTTATATTGTTCAATGTCTGTGCTTCTTAGAGCACAATTTCTGCAAACTTGAAAGGATTTATCCTAATCACTTTATCCAATTATACTTTGCTTCAGGAGAATAAGGTAGCACATTTAGTAAAAATCAATCAAAGAGATCATCATTCAGCAGAAACATGCCACACCTCTCCAAGGACCCTACAACATGGACGGCACGATAGATGGTGTCCACATCAACAATTTCACGGTGCAGCCTCCGAGTCCCCGGGAATGTTGCCCACTTGAGCGCCTTACAACATGTCACGCCGTCATCCCTTGTCCACTTGAGCGCCTTACAACATGTCACTGCTCATAGTACTGGACATAGGCCCACCCCTTGTCACTCTGCAAGTGCTTGAACAACAGCAAGACCTCGGCATACCACACCTCATCCCCCGCCCCCCTAATGGCAACATGCGAGAACCAGGGGTCCCCATGGTGTGATTGGTTCGCACGAACGAAGTGGGTGACCCTGGAGTGCCACTCGCGGGGCCCGGCAGGTACCGCCGCCCCTTTGCAAATCTGCAAGGGCGAGGGGCAGGGTGCGGTGATTGAAACAAATGGCAAAAAGGGGAGGCTATGCCTTGGCACTACCCAGGTGCCGTGACAAACTTTGATCGAGGGGCGAGGGGGTGGGCAGCAAGGGGGAGGAAGTGACGCCCACTGGAGAGAGGGAAGGAGGGACACAGTGTTGAGTGCCATACTGGAGGGAGGGAGGGATGGAGCAGCAGAGGGGAGGGGGAGGTGAGAGAGAGTTTGTGATGTATGTTGCTGTGGGGAGGGAGGGAGTGGCAGAGGGGAAGGGGAGATGAGGGAGAGCTGCGTAAGTGATGCGTAAGAGGGAGGGAAGAAGCAGCAGAAGGGAGATGTGATGGGGGATAGGGCTGCAGGAGATGACGTCTCAAGGGTGAAAGATAAGGAAGAGGGATTGGGAGATGAGGGGTAAGGCTGCAAGCAAGACCGAGTGGTCGGCAAGGGACTGGGCACCAGGGTCTTAGGATATACAAGGGTGCTCACATGTAGTGTAGGGGACGTGATGTCGGTCGTCTGAAGATCCTCCTACAGGGTATCTATCAAAGTTAATGAATGACTAGAAAGGTGGGATACATGGGAATATAACATAGTGGGTTGTACTCTCTAAGTCACAACCCTATATAGTATATAATAATATACTAAGATATGTTTGACACACCACCTAGACTAGATAGGGGCAGTGCCTGATGAGAGACAAGTAGCTCAAGGTGGCACGACTAGTCCATCCTCTGAGATAAGGGTCTGAAGAGCAAGGAAAGAGCAAAACCAGGGCGGCACTACTAGTCCAGCCACTGGGAAGAGGCCACAAGGCCAATCAGGGAAATATATATCTAAAAATGTCAGTACACAATCAAGGTCCTAGCAAATGAGAGGTTACAGGAACAAGACCAAGCTGTACACAGTGCCGCTGATGATCTTTAGGCGCAAGTGCCTTCGAAAAGATATCAGCTGCGTTGGCACCGGAGGCCAAGTGTACTACGCGGGCCTGGCGACGCTGCTGAAGCTCGCGCAGGAGGAAGTATTGCAGCTGGATGTGCTTCGCTCTGCCCTCGAGTCTGGGCTCCTGGCATAGGAGGATCATGGCCCTATTGTTAGCGTACAGGACCAGGGCAGTGCTAGGCCGCTCACCTAAGTCTGTGAGCAAGAAAGTCAGCCAACGGAGCTCCTGTGCCGCCATGGCACCAGCGTAGATCTCAGCCTCACAGCTAGACTCGGCAACAGACGACGAACGGGTGGACCGCCACGAGACAGCACCTGCACCAAGGCTAAAGTAGTAGCCCTGAGAAGACCGGAGAGTCTCGGCGTCGTCGGCCGAACAAGCGTCTGTGTGCCCGGTAAGGACTACTGGTCTCCATCCTTCTAGCACTAACCCCAAGCGTGATGTATTTGCTAGATAACGCAAAACCCTCTTAGCTGCCGACCAGTGCTGTGGTCGGTGTCTGCCGGCGGCCACAAAGCGAGCCAGGATGCTGAGAGGGTATGCGAGATCTGGACAAGTGCAAGTCATCAGGTACATGAGGCAACCCACCAGCACTGCATAGGGGCCACTAGACTCTATAGCCTCCTCCGGAACTGGAGCCGAGAGTCTGTGGTCTACTGGCAGAAGGGTGGGCTATGCGGAAGAGAAGTGAAGGCCGAAACTCTAAAGGACTTGGCGCACCAAGTGTGACTACGAGAGAGTGATGGTGCGCGCTGCTCTGTCTCTGGAGATCTGCAGGCCAAGGTAGCGGCGCAGCTCTCCTATGTCAGTGCAGGTGTGTCTTCTCAGCAGTTCGGCCTTCACAGAGGCCAGTGCGTCTCTGTCTACGGTAGCAAAAACCAGGTCGTCTATGTAGACAACGATATAAAACGGTGTCTAGCCGGAACGGACGAAGAGCGAGGGGTCGGCAGACGACAGGAAGAACTGCAGGTCAGCAAGCGTAGCACGCAGCGTATCGTGCCACTCGCGGGGCGCCTGTCGCAAGCCGTAGATGGGGCGCTGGAGGAGCCACTCGATACAAGGAGGAAAGGTACCAGAGAAGCCCTGGGGGCGGCGCATGTAGACTTGCTCGTGTAGACAGCCCTGGAGGAAAGCTCTAGAGAATTCGAGGGAGTGGAGCTCGTAGTCAGGCTGTGCTGCTACGTGTAGCAGTGCCCGAAGAGTAGTCATCTTTGGGGTCGGGGCGAAGGTCTGGAAGAAGTCCACCCCCTGACGCTGACTGAAGCCTCGAACAACATAGCAGGCCTTGAAGACAGGCGGCTCTCCAGGAGGGCGCTTCACCTTGAAGAGCCACCGGCCATCGACTACGTTCACCCCAGGTGGGGGAACTGCATCGACGAAGGTACCGGTGGATCTCCAAGATGCCATCTCCTGCTCTATGGCAGCTATCCACTGAGAGGCCCAGGGTCCCAAGGTGGCCTCAGCGTAGGTGCGAGGGGTCGGGATGTCAAGGGCGTCTGGGTCACCCTCAGGGACTAGTAGCATGGAACAGAGATGGGGAGCGGCCTCAGACTGGAAAGCGAGCTCGTACTGCCTGTCCTCTAGGACGTCACTGCCAAGGGCAGCCACACCCCCGACGGACGGAGGGCAGGCAGGGTCAGAGACCACAACGGTGGCGTAGTCCAGGCGGCGGGTAGCAGTGAAGTCAGTGACAGCAGCGACAAGAGCCGACAAACTCGAGACAGGAACTGACGGGTCTGTAACAAGAAAGGCAAGGACACGAGGAAAAACGGGACGTGCTGCACAGAGGAAGTCAGAGAACGGAGGCAGGGCCACAACAAGCGACGGCGGGGGAGGAGACGGGAGGAGAGGAGGAGCTCGGGACACGTGAAAGCAAAGCAACATAGGGTGAGAACGCAGGACAGGGGAGCTAGGACGAGCATGAGATGGATGACGAGACCAGACGTGAGACGGAGGAGTCGGGTCAGGAGAGAGCGGGGGGGACACAGGAGGAGAACGGGGAGGGAAACGAGCTGGAGAGGAGTCCGGAGGAGGAAACTCTTGGCCGTAGACCGGCGGAGGGGGACGAACAGTGAGCTAAGTCGTGCCAGAGGCATGAACGTGAGCAAGGCAACCCCGGGCGTGGAATGAAGACGCGTCACCAGGGGACCCGGTCCAGAGGAGGGTCGGCGAAACCTGCGGGTGCTGAGGGTGCAGCCACAGGTTAAGCTGGTGAGCGGCATAGCGAACGGCGAACGGCCACAGAAAATGGGGTGCACCGGCATGGATCATGGAGGTACGAGCCACCTCCATGACCAAACCGATGCATCGCTCAGCGACCCCATTCTGTTCCGGGGTGTCCAGAACAGTGTAGGTCTGGGTGATGGCCTCCGCATGACAGAAATGACCAAGGCAACCAGAGGCGAACTCGCCACCGCGGTCAGAGAGAAGACGCAACATTGGGAGACCTCGGTGCACACACGCAGAGACAAGCCACGGGATATGAACGTCAGGCACGCTAGCCTTCCGCTCCAGGGGAAACACGGTGGTGTAGCATGCGTAGTCGTCGACAAGCACTAGGAAGTGCTCGCGACGCGGCCTATGGACGGGGGCGGGGCCCCAGACGTCCATGTGCAGGGTCTGCAGCGGTGCGGCGGTGGGGGAGAATGAGGAGGAGTGAGGGGCATGGCGGAGCCGGCCCTCGACGCAGGGCGTGCTCAGTGGCGCTGATGAGGAGGGGAGCGCAGGGAACGACTCAGGGAGACTTAAGACAAGACCGTACTATGACATGTGACGGAGACGGGTGAGAGCGGGGTAACCTAGACGGTGGTGCCACAGAAGCGATGGGTGAGTAAGCGACCGACACGAGCAAGCCGTAGCAACCTAGGTAAATGCTGCTATCTGGGGAGGCGTCCAACCGGGGGGGACGCGGTGTCCAGCGTGAACAGGCCAGACACCGGGTCCCGGGGGAACGTGGTGAGGGGGGCACCAGCGGCGGCCTCGGTACAGACAGCGTACCGCTCGTGCCCAGGGAACGTAGTGGTGACGCCAAGGTCCTGGAGGCAGCCGACACCAACTAGGTTCCTAGAGAACGAGGGAATGTGCAGGCCTGTAAGGGAGCCCGAGGGAACCACCGGACAAGGAAGACTGGTGGAGCTACGGGCGACTACATGACCGGAGGAAGGGCTTGCAAGAGCAACTACGGCGGGAGTGGCAAGTGGCGTAAGCGTAGTGGAGTCCCGGAAGCAACACCGGGAAGCGCCAGAGTCCAGAGTGAAGGAGAGCGCGGTAGTGGCGACAGGGGTCGGAGGGGCGAGGGAGGACCCAAGGCTAAACAAGGCAGGGGATCCTACGCCTGAAGCAGCAGGGGAGCCTGAACTAGGCACTGTGGGCACAACTACACTAAGCAATACAGGGTAATACGAACCAGTCACACTAGAGTCATCGACATACAGCACATATCAAAGATGCAGCTAATCTCATCCATGTCCATATCAAAGATCCTAACACCACGGCCGAGAAGACTATGCTAGCCGGGGAGGTCAGGCGACTGGCCGAAGCGGAGACGAAACGAGTGGGGGTGTGGCCGATCTTATCGCACACGAGGCCGCGGCAAGGACCGGTCTGAAGCTGGTATTGGCTGCGCACGTCACTCTGACCACCACCCGACGTTACGCCGCGCGGACGACCACTGCGACCACTGCTTCAGCCGGCGCCAGGCCACCCGGGCGGGAGACGGCCGACTTGCCTCTGCTACTGCTGCGGATGCGGGTGCTGCTGCTGCTGCTGGTCCAGCGGCGGCGCCTGCTGCTGCTGCTCCGAGGCACCAGCCCCAACCCCCTCGTCAGTACTACCAGCGGACGAGCCACCTCCACCACCGGCACCACCCCCTCCTCCGCTACCTTCGTCGCGCCCAGCCTTGGGGCGGCGACCCTTACCCGGACGAAACTGCATGGCGGCGGCTGTCTCCGCAGCAGGAGCTGTCTCAGTGACCGCAGTAGAACCGTCAGAGTAAGTGCATTGAGCAGGGGCACAGCCCTAAAAGGTAGAGACCGGCACGGTACCGCTAGACTTCGCGATAGAGCACTGATGAGTCTCTACGACAGACAGGGTGTCGACAATGTCAGTGAAGGTGAGGTCAGCGGGGTGGAGACTAAGGAAGTGATCGCGGGCGGTGGCAAGGCGGTCAGGGAGGCGAATGTCAAGCAGGTAGAGGGTAGAGCAGATGGGGGGCTGAAATACACGAAGCTGGGCTTCAGTGCAGGCAGCGCGCCAAGTCGTGTCTAGCATGTGCAGGTGGGCGGCCAAGTCAGCGACAGTAAGGAAAGACGCGAGATCAGGAAAGAGCATGGGCAGGATTAGGCGACCGACGGAGGCAGAGGGCGGGTGGAATAGCGCGTGGCAATAGCCTCTAGGAATTCCTGCGCAGTCCTGACCGACCTAAAGCAGGGGCGCTCGGACAGGGGGAGGGCATGACTAATCGCAAGCTGTGCGACGGCGTCACGCGACAACTAGACAGCATGGGCAAGGGCAACAGCAGCAGCGGACTCACGGTCAGCAGACGTGGGGTCAGTGGGTAGAGCAGCAGGGGGGTCAGGGCAGGGGAGTGTACCGTCGATGTGGATGGCCACGGAGTGGCCGTCCTGCCACTGACCACTCAGGTGGCGGCGGAGGTCGATGAGCCACGAGTCGAACTCAACCGGCTGCCCCTCCGCATCAAAGCGCAGGACCGAGTCCGCCATCATGGTCGCAGCAGTAGCAGAAAGGCGGTACTGGGCGACAGGGTGCGACGGGAAGCAGTGGTGTGCGGTGCGGTGCTGTACAGTGCGGTAGACGGAGGTGCAGTACGGTAGGGTGCGATGCAGAGCAGTGCAGTGCGGTGAAGTGCGGTACGGGGTGGTGCAGTGCGGTGCAGAGGGCCAATGACGGCGGCAAGGCGTCTAGGAGATGGGGCCGCGGGCGGCGAGGCGGTGGGGCTGGCTGGGCGGGGAGGCGGTGGGGCTGGCTAGGCTACGGGGTCGGCTGAGGGACGGGGTCGGCTAGGCGACAGGGCCGGCTGTGCAATGGGGCTGGCTAGGTGACGGGGCCGGTTAGGCAACAGGGCCGACTAGGCGACGGGACCGGCTAGGCGACGGGGCCTGCTAGGCGACGGGGCCAGCTAGGCGACGGGGCCGGTCGGGCGAGGGGGCCGGCTGGGCGACGGGGCCGACGAGGCGACGGGGCCGGCTGGGCGACGGGGCTTGCTAGGAGGCGGGGCCGGCTAGGAGGCGGGGCCGGCTGGGCTACGGGGCCGGCTAGGCGACGGGGCCGGCTTGGCGATGGAGCCGGCCAGACGACGGGGCCGGCTAGGCAGCGGGGTCGGCTAGGAGACGGGATCGGCTAGGAGGCGGGGCCGGCTGGGCTACGGGGCCGGCTAGACGACAGGGCCAGCTAGGCGACGGGGCCGGTCGGGCGACAGGGCAGGCTAGGCGACGGGGCCGACGAGGCGATAGGGCCGACGAGGCGACGGGGCCTGCTAGGCGACGGTGTCGGCTAGGAGGCGGGGCCGGCTGGGCTACTGGGCCGGCTAGGCGACGGGCTCGGTTGGGCGACGGGACCTGCTAGGCGACGGGGTCGGCTAGGAGGCGGGGCCGGCTAGGAGGCGGGATCGGCTAGGAGGCGGGGCCGGCAGGGCTACGGGGCCGGCTAGGCAACAGGGCCAGCTAGGTGACATGGCCGGCTAGGCGACGGGGCTGGCTAGGCAACGGACCGGTACGTGCGGGAGGGGAACGAGGCGGCTAGGACCTAGGGCAGAAGCGCTAATGGACGGGGGGGACCTAACCTGCTCATGATACCATATCAAAGTTAACGAATGACTAGAAAGGTGGGATATATGGGAATACAACATAATGGGTTGTACTATCTAAGACACAACCCTATATAGTCTATAACAACATACTAAGATATATTTGGCAGTATCTAGGCGCCCTCCTAATGCATCATTGTACAGGGCGTATTGATGTGTGTTACTGCTCCTAAAATTGCTGCAACCCATGTGCATGACCACATGGGACCTAAAAAAAAAAGCGGTGCCCAGTAGTGTCCGCCTGAAGCACGCATGGTGGGATGTGGGGGATTGAGGTTGTTGGAGCTATAAAAAAACAACTAGGAGTACACATAAATGGAAACACATAAATTTCAAGTTTGATGAAAATCAAAACCTGAAAAATCAGGGTATGCTCTAAAAAATACCCTGATATACAGGCTTTCATGCCTTTTTTCCGAGGGCCTGATGTAGATGCCAAATTGCATGTAAGTAATTTTTTTGCAGCATGATTGTCTCTAAGGGTTGATTTTATGTAGGGAAGAGGTGTAAGAAGGCTGATGGGTTACAAATTGTACTTAAATCGCACTATACTAACGTCTGATAAGAGGTGTAAGCAGGTTGATAGGCAAACGTCTGTTTTTTAGAATAGTACAACTGCCTCATGAAATCGCAGGATACTACCGCATGGCGAGTATGGTGCCAAACCTAAGTGCTCTGGCTCGGAAAGCTTGAACATTGTCTTTGTCCCTCGATGTTGGTTTCAATGTCTCCCGAAGCTCGAAAGCCTGGCTGGGGGAATGCATGGTGGGGAGGAGGGAGGGAGTGTTGATTGAAATCGAGCCGCCTGTCTGATCACTTTCTGTTGGTGACGGTGGAAGTCTGGCCGCAGGCCCTGGATAGGATCCCACCCAAGGCTATGCCTGCTTTGAGGAAGTCATGGAATGGAACACGAGCGATATGTGCCGGCCACAAGCTGGACAGAGTGACAGCCTGACAGGAAGCAACGTTGCACTCACAAAGCAGCCGTTTGCCCTTCTCTCGCTCAGTATGCGCTTTGCACGCACAAAAAGCAGCTTGAGAGCCACTACAGTACTAGGGACTTAATAGCAGGAACCAACCCCAGCTTCTGTCGTTCCTTGTGCCAATATACGCGTGCTGGTGCGTGTGGTAACTCCTTAGGTCTTCACAAGCATCGCTCCGGTATTCCTGTATCCCGTACAATCCATATCTTTGGTAGACATGGCTGCTTTCAGGTGGATCGTTTCGACATTAGCGGCTGTGCTGCCGCTGCTACTGGCGCATATCGCCGTGCCGTCAGCTGCGCAAGACACGAGCCTGCAGCAGTGCTACTGGCCGCTGAACTCTACGCAATGTGAGCTCGGTCTTCACGCGATGTCGGCTTAGTCTGTCGATTTCAGCTTGGTTGGTACGCAAAGTCAAAATGTAATTCCACTGGATGTGACACAATGCCAGTTCATATTTTCACGCACTGTAGACCTAACTGTGACGCGTTTCATCTGGTGGTCTGCAGCGGAGACCCTGGCGAGCATAGCAGCAGCGCTGGACTACTTCCCGTACGACATGTCGTTCATCACTACCTGCGTCAATGTCGGCCTCACATGCAGCGACAACGGCTACGTCACTCAAATGTCCGTTCTGCTACTTACTGCTCATTCCATTGCTTCTGCTAGCGCTCATGGTACTGTTGTTGCTGAATTAGCATAAAACGGTGCTTCATGCTTGTGATTGACACTTTGGTGCCTTGACTCTTGGCTGTTGTGCGTGCAGCAATTGGCAGTACAAGGCAATTCAAGGGGAGCTTCCGTCAGAGATATTCCAGCTTATGCACCTTGAATACCTGTGAGAGCTTTCGCTTCCGAGTGGCCTCAAAAGCCACCTGTGAGAGCTTTCGCTTCTGAGTCGACTCAAAAGCCACCTGTGAGGACTTTCGCTTCTGATTCGACTTAAAAGTCACCTGTGAGAACTTTCGCTTCAAGCACATCAAACGCCACATAACCTCACCGAATGCTTTCTTCTTTACATGGGCTAATAATCGTGATGGGCATTACTATTTATGGCTTTCCCTCAAGGCCATGCAATCACCCGCTGGATGTGCTCCCATGAATGTACAGTAATGCATGTGCCACCATGACGTCACATTACAGGTCTCTGCGAGACAACTATCTGCGCGGCTCCATCCCCTCTGAGATCGGCAGCCTCGTCAACCTCACATTCCTGTCAGTTCACTCCGTCCCTCTGTCAGTTCACTCCGTCCCTCTGTCAGTTCACTCCGTCCCTCTGTCAGTTCACTCCGTCCCTCTGTCAGTTCACTCCGTCCCTCTGTCAGTTAGGCGCGCCTTTCTGCCAGTTAGTGGCACTCCTGTCTCACGGTCTCACTGGTTATTATCTCCATGCGTGCATGTGTGTGTGTGGGTGGGGGGGGGGGGGGAGGGGTGGGGAGGTGCGTGCGTGCATGTGTGTGTGGCAGAGATTTGTCCAACAACTCCTTCTCAGGCCCCTTCCCGACCTTCTTCAGCAAACTCACCAAGCTTTCCTACCTGTCAGTCAACAGTTCCTACCTGTCAGTCAAGTTCCTACCCGTCATTCAACAGTTCCTACCTGTCAGTCAACAGTGCCTACCTGCCAGTCAACAGTTCATACCTGCCAGTTAACAGTTCCCACCTGTCAGCAAACAGTTCCTACCTGCCAGTTAACAAATCCTACCTGTCAATCAACAGTTCTTACCTGTCAGGCAACAGTTCTTACCTGTCAGCTAACAGTTCATACCTGTCAGTTAACAGTTCCCGTCTGCCCACCAACCATTTCCACCTGTCAGATAACCAGCATCTCTTCTCACAATCCCTCCTTTCCCCAAGTATTCACCCCGTGATCCTTTGCATGACATACATGCCGCGCGCCACATTCCGCATACCCATGCCACATGCCACATGTCACATGTCACATGCCACATGCCACATGCCACATGTCACATGTCACATGTCATGCCCATGCCACATGCCACATGCCACACGCCATGCCCATGCCACCAGGTACATGCGGCAGAACAACTTCTCTGGCAGTATTCCCGACGCCATCGGCAACATGGTGTCTCTTAACGACATGTACGTGTGTGCTGCACTGCTGGCGTCGCTCATAACTCACAGCATGCACACTAATCAGGCAGGCAGTATTCCCAACACCATCCGTCATGGCGTTTTCTGCCAACGCCTCACCTCTCTCCTCCCACTCACCCATTACGTTTCCCTCCCTCACAAACACCCATTTCTCCCTCTTTTTCTGCCCCTCTCCCCCCCTTCCCCCTTCTCTCTCCTCCCCTTAACACGCTCCTTCCCTCTATCACCAACTCCCCTCCGCAGCGACCTGACCGACAACTCTTTCTCAGGCTCCCTGCCCGCCTCCATGGGCCAACTCACTAACCTCAATAACATGTGAGATGGAACAACATGTGAGATGCTACAGCATGTGAGATGCTACGGCATGTGAGATGCTACCGCATGTGAGATGCTACAGCATGTGAGATGCTACAGCATGTGAGATGCTACAGCATGTGAGTGAGTGAGCCTTCACAAATTTGTCACATCTGCAACCCGTGAAGGCTGTGCAACACTGCAACCTGCAAGGTGAACCTTTCCACAGCTGCAGTCTTGCAATGGCGATATGCACTTTAATATTGCGCTCCTGATCAAACGCGCAGATCAATCGCGCTCCTGATCAATCGCGCACGCCGTTCTTTCTTCCCACTCGGCCATGTGCACCCCCCCCCTTGCCCATGCGCATCTCGCCTGCCTGCAGAGTGATGTCACGCAACCAGATTTCAGGGTCCCTCCCCCCCTCCTTCTCCAAAATGGCCAGCCTCAGCAACGTGTAAGCCTCAGCAACGCGTGCCCCAAATGCTGTCACACCAACTTGTGCGGCTAGCGTTGCCATCATGGTTGCTGTGGTGATGCCATTTTGGCTCGCGATTGGTGTATGATGGCGCCTTATGCTCACATGCTCTCCGGGTCACTAGAGCACCCCCTCCCATGCCCCGTGACCCCTCCTCTCACATGCCCCATGACCCTCTCCCCTCCCCTTCCCCTCCCATACCCCATGACCCCTCCCCCGTCCCCCTTCCCTCCCGTGCCCCGTGTCGCCCTCTCCTCCACAGCTATTTGGACGACAACCTGCTCTCGGGGTCGCTGGAGGCCCTCGCTGCTCTCTCCAGCCTCAGTGACATGTGAGAATGGCTGCCTCAATGGCATGTGAGAGTGACTGCCTCACACGTGAGAGTGACTGCCTCAGTGACACGTGAGAGTGACTGCCTCGTCTCAATACGAGAGCCATGGACTGTTTGTCACAAATCTTCCTCAATACCTCCTGCTGTTCCCCCCTCTCTTTCCTTCCTTGGTCTCTCCGTTCTGCTTCTCAGCTCCTTGTGCAGCAATCGCTTCACCGAACTCATACCCGCTACATTAGCCACGACGTCTTTTTCTCTCTCTTTCGTCCTCCCCATCTCAGCTCCCTGCGCGGCAATCGCTTCAGGGGATCCATACCTGCTGCATTCGCCGCCAACGTCTTCACCTCCTTGTATGCCTGCTATCATGTGTCATGTGCCATGTGCCATGTCCCATGTGCCATGTGCCATTTGCCTTCTACCACGTGCCATGTGCCATGTGCCTTCTACCACGTGCCATGTGCGATGTGTCATGTGCCATGTGCCTTCTACCACGTGACATGTGCCACGTGCCTTCTACCATGTGTCATGTGCCAAGTGCCTTCTACCATGTGCCATAGTCCCTTCCTTGTCTGCCATCTACCTGCCATGCAGTTGCACATCCCCTTGAAAAGCATCATCGTATGCAGCATGTCATACCATGTTTCCTCAATCCATCAGTCTCAGCCGTTTACTGTCATGTCTACCCAATAACCCGTCTTCAATTTTCTCCTTCCCCCCTCCCCCCCATCCTCCCCCCAACCCCCGCCTCCCCACCTCCCGTGTTTTCGTCCCCACTGTCCTCCTCGCAGCGACGTGTCAGTGAACGACCTCTCAGGCCCCTTGCCCTCGGGCCTGCGATTCAGTGAACCTCCTGGCGGCCCTCAATTGTAAGCCCTGTGCTTGTGAGGCGCTCAATTGTACGGCCTGTGCTTGTGAGGTCCTCTATGTGACTTGTTTTCTAGGCATTGCGTTCTGACAGCTTGCTCCTTTAGGATTCCGTGACCTTTGCAGGCCCATCGTCGCACCTGCCTGTTGGTGCACCGCCTCCCACCATCCATTGGCCTCCAAATGCGCCTCTCCTCCCACCTGTCTGCGCCTGGCAGCAACGCGTCCTTCAACCGCCTCTCTGGTGTCATCCCGCCTGACTTCCCCGTGAACTCATTCTTCGTCCTGTAGGTGCATTGCTTGGCATCTCTGAACAGTGACGCTGCTTGCACACCCGCAATTCCCCTCATGCCTTCAACTAGCTCCCCTCCCTCTACCTTCCCTTTCCACCACGTCCCTCCCCTGTTTCCCCCTCTGTCTCTCGTCCCCCCCTCCTCCCTCCCCCTGCCCCAACACCTTCCTTCCCTCTGCCTGCCCCTCGTTTGCATTCCCTCCCCAGGGACCTCTCCCACAACGAGCTCTCGGGCAGAGCGTTCTTTTCCGGGCAGAATGAGTATCCTCGGCCCTACACCATGTATGCGCTCACAGGGCAGCACACGAATAAATGCATCAGTATATCATAGTGACATAAAAATTAGTGCATCAACAATGGTAGTAACATACACCCATTACCATTACACCGACCAGTGGATGATGCGACAACCAACAACGCGATCACTGTGTCAATCGTCAGCATTCCATCTTATCCCTATCATCTGTCGTCGGTTCCTCCCACCAGTGCCATCATTCTCTCACACATCCATGCCTGCTCGTCATGCATGCCTGCTCGTCATGCATGCCTGCTCGTCATGCATGCCTGCTCATCATGCATGCCTGCTCGTCATGCATGCCTGCTCGTCATGCATGCCTGCTCGTCATGCATGCCTCTCCACCCGTGCCCCCTGCTCTCCTACCCCTCAGCCATTATCATCCTTTCCCCTCAACACCTGCGCTCCCTGTCTCGTCTCGTCACCACCTCTCCAAACCCTCCTTCCCCCCACCCACCAACCCACACGCGCCAGCAATTTCTCTCACAACAATTTCTCCGGAGCACTCGACCCCTCCGTCTCCACCCTAACCTACCTGCACGACCTGTGCGTGCCTCACCTACCTGCACGACCTGTGCGGGCCTCTCTGCCTTCCCTCGCATTCTGCTCTTCCCCTATTCCCCTCTCCTTCCCCCCCACCCACTCCCTCTCCTCTCTCTCGCGGCCCCTCTTCGCCTCTCTCACAGCTCTCCTCACGTTCCCTGCTGTGCCAGACTGCCAAAAGCGGTCTTGGGTTCCTCATCCCTCGTTTCTCGTTGTCCAGTTGACTCCCTTGTCTCAACCCCATGTCTCCTTCCCTATGCTGTCTCCCTTCTCATCCCATCAACAATCTCTTCCTTTCACCTTTCTTGAGGCGCCTCAAAAACCCCATGTCTCCTTCCCTACGCTGTCTCCCTTCTCATCCCATCAATATTCTCTTCCCTTGACCTTTCTCTGCTCTTCCCCCACTTAATTGCCCTCTCGCCCCCCTGCCCCCCTCCTTGCTTCCTCCTCCCTCCCTCTCCCTGCAGTGACCTATCCGCCAATCATCTCACCGGGTCCATTCCAGCCTTCATTTCAAGCCTTACCGCCCTCACTCTACTGTACGTCTTTCTAGCATGAACGGAAGCTTCCTGTGCATGTTAGGCTGGGAGAACCAGGAGGAGTAAGGCTAAGGTGTAAGTAGCCCCTTCACTCGTGTCCGTTGTCAATGCCATCATTTGTGTCCGCCACGTCATCTTCCCCCACTCACGCTCTACCCCCCCATTTGCCTCTCTCCCTTCCCTTGCGCCTTCCCCCCGTCCGTTCTCTCCCTGGCCCCACTTCCCTCCCTACCGTTACAACCCTCCCGCCTGCCTCCAGCGACCTCTCTTCCAATGAGTTCACGGGCGCAGTGCCGCCAGCTGTCAGCAGCCCCACTGGCCTCCTCAGCATGTGAGATGGCGTGTGGTGTGGGCACGTGAGATGATATGTTGGCACAGAATATGGCACTCACACTGTCTAACCCCAGCTGCTTGCAAATGGCACCTAAAGTCCCATCCTCCCCTGCTACACCTCCCCTGCCTCCTGAGATGCCCAACTCCTACCCCCCTGCCTACCCCTGTCCACCCCTGCCAAACCCCTGCCCACCCCTCCCTCTTGAGCAGGAATCTGGCGCACAACCTTCTTCAGGGCTCCCTTCCCCGTGCTCTCTCGCGCCTCGCCTCCCTCACTCTCCTGTGCGCGCCTCGATTCACACAGCCATGCCACATCACACTGCGTTTCATGTCTTTCCATGCCATGCCATGGCGTGCCATGCCATGCCATGCCATGCCGTGCCATGCCATGCCATGCCATGCCATGCCATGCCATACCATGCCATGCCATGTCATGCAATGCCATCCACACAATATATCCACTGGGCATCCCTGCAGCCCATGTCCGTCCCGTACTTTACCCCACCCATGCTTTGTGTGCCAATGGCCATCCCCCCCACATGCCACATCTCCATCGTCAGCAATGTGTCGTCCAACCAGCTGTCAGGAGACCTCACACCAGCACTCTCGGCTCTGCAGTCCCTCGAGCTTGTGTGAGTACTCCATGTGGGGACAAGTGCATGGGGCATGATCCATGGGACATGGGACCTGAGACATCAGACATGGGGCATAGGGAACCTGGCGCGCTTGTTGTGATGCATAATGAACCATTACTTTTCCCAAATGCCAACCCACGTGTTTCCAACCCCGCATCCCGTTGGTTCCCATGACCCCCCTTACCCCTCACCTTTCCTCCCTGCTATCTCAACCGCTCCTCCCTCCCACTCATTGCATCGGCTGTTATGCATTCAGTGCCATCCTGCCATTCCGTCCCATCCTGCCATTCCTCCCATCCTGCCATTCCTCCCATCCTGCCATTCCTCCCATCCTGCCATTCCTCCCATCCTGCCATTCCCTCCCATCCTGCCATTCCCTCCCATCCTGCCATTCCCTCCCATCCTGCCATTCCTCCTATCCTGCCATTCCTCCCATCCTGCCATTCCCTCCCATCCTGCCATTCCTCCCATCCTGCCATTCCTCCCATCCTGCCATTCCCTCCCATCCTGCCATTCCCTCCCATCCTGCCATTCCTCCCATCCTGCCATTCCTCCCATCCTGCCATTCCTCCCATCCTGCCATTCCTCCCATCCTGCCATTCCTCCCATCCTGCCATTCCTCCCATCCGGCCATTCCTCCCATCCTGCCATTCCTCCTTTCCTGCTATTCCCTCCCATCCTGCCATTCCCTCCCATCCTGCCATTCCTCCCATCCGGCCATTCCTCCCATCCTGCCATTCCTCCCATCCTGCCATTCCTCCCATCCTGCCATTCCTCCCATCCTGCCATTCCCTCCCATCCTGCCATTCCTCCCATCCTGCCATTCCTCCCATCCTGCCATTCCTCCCATCCTGCCATTCCTCCCATCCTGCCATTCCTCCCATCCTGCCATTCCTCCCATCCTGCCATTCTTCCCATCCTGCCATTCCTCCCATCCTGCCATTCCTCCCATCCTGCCATTCCTCCCATCTTGCCATTCCTCCCATCCTGCCATTCCTCCCATCCTGCCATTCCTCCCATCCTGCCATTCCTCCCATCCTGCCATTCTTCCCATCCTGCCATTCTTCCCATCCTGCCATTCCTCCCATCCTGCCATTCCTCCCATCCTGCCATTCCTCCCATCCTGCCATTCCTCCCATCCTGCCATTCCTCCCATCCTGCCATTCCTCCCATCCTGCCATTCCTCCCATCCTGCCATTCCTCCCATCCTGCCATTCTTCCCATCCTGCCATTCCTCCCATCCTGCCATTCCTCCCATCCTGCCATTCCTCCCATCCTGCCATTCCTCCCATCTTGCCATTCCTCCCATCCTGCCATTCCTCCCATCCTGCCATTCCTCCCATCCTGCCATTCCTCCCATCCTGCCATTCTTCCCATCCTGCCATTCTTCCCATCCTGCCATTCCTCCCATCCTGCCATTCCCTCCAATGCCCTGCCCTCCCCTGGCCCTGCTGCAGTGACATGTCAGCCAACGCCTTGAACAGCTCCATTCCGCCCTTCTTCGGTCGCATGCCCAACATGACACACCTGTAGGCACATGACCCACCTGTACGCACATGGCATGGCACCATAGCATGTAAGTGATTACCGTCCATGTGCCGCGGAAGCACCGCCGGTGCATGCAGCACCCTCAGAGGCGCATGGCCCACTTGCTGTCACACGATGGAGCGTGGCTTGGCTAATGCTCAGGTGACAATGGTTATCCATCCAGCACGCAACCACTCCTCTCCCATGCCATGCCATGCCATGCTGTCCTTTGCTACAATACACCACCCACTCATAGCCATTCTCCTGCCCTCGTCCCCCTGCCCACATCCCTTTGCCTCATTCCCCTGCCCCCATCCCCCTGCCCCTTTCCCCCTGCCCCTTTCCCCGTGCCCCTTTCCCCCTGCCCTTATTCCCCTGCCCCTATTCCCCTGCCCCTTTCCCCCTGCTTCTTTCCCCCTCCCCTTTTCCCCTGCTCCTTTCCTCCTGCCCCTTTCCCCGTGCCCCTTTCCCCGTGCCCCTTTCCCCCTGCCCGTATCTCCCTGCCCGTATCCCCCTGCCACTTTCCCCCTGCCCCCTTTCCCCCTGCCCCTTTCCCTTGCCCCTTTCCCCCTGCCCCTTTCCCCCTGCCCCTTTCCCCCTGCCCCTCTCCCCCTGCCCCTTTCCCCCTGCCTCTCTCCCCCTGCCCCTTTCCCCCTGCCCTCATGCCCCCCAGGGACATGTCTATCAACCTGCTCACTGGTTCTGTGCCCCCTTCCATCCTCACTCTGCGCCGACTCTCCCACCTGTCAGTCATCTCTCTCCCACCTGTCAGTCATCTCTCTCCCACCTGTCAGTCATCTCTCTCCCACCTGTCAGTCATCTCTCTCCCACCTGTCAGTCATCTCTCTCCCACCTGTCAGTCATCTCTCTCCCACCTGTCAGTCATCTCTCTCCCACCTGTCAGTCATCTCTCTCCCACCTGTCATTCATCTCTCTCCCACCTGTCAGTCATCTCTCTCCCACCTGTCAGTCAACTCTCTCCCACCTATCAGTCAACTGCCCCCCACCTATACCCCTGACCCTTTGACTTCTAAGTAGCAACTTCTACCAACCACCCATTCTTCTTTTTTGCCTGCCGTCACTCGTCCACTTCACTTCCCTCCTTAGACCTCCCTGATCCTTTGGCCTCTTGCGTCTCTCCCCACATGCCCCGTTCTACCCCTTGTCCCAGGAACGCATCTCACAACCGCCTCTCAGGCCCGCTTCCCTACGCTGCTGCCAGCCCTGCTCTAATTATGTGGGTACTGCACGGGTGTTGACTTCTCATGTGACCACTGCTGACCATGTAAATAGCGACAGCCATTCGAGCCTGGGGATAAATATCTCCTTCCTTCCCTCCCTCGTTCTCCTCCTCCTGCCAATTTCCACCTCTCTTCTTGCTATCCCTTCTCATCTCCCCCTCCTTCTCCTCACCCCCCGCCTCCCGCAATTGTATCTCTTCCGCACCCCCCCATCCTCCCCCCCCTTTCCCCAGCGACCTCTCCTTCAACATGTTCTCGGGGTCGTTGGATAAGCATCTCTTCAACCTCAATCGTCTTGCTCTACTGTTAGTGCCACCAAAAACCCTTCCTTGCCACCAAAAGCCCTTCCTTGCCTGCTGCTGCCCCCTCAACTTGGGCTGTTTGTTTGTGGCACCTTTGAGTCAAGTTTTTCCGTGTGGGGAGGGGGGGGGTCCAGTGTCGTAGCGCATGAATGCAGGCAACATATGAGCCAATGCTTTCACATGCTGCGCTACTGTGCTGATGTGTCGCGTGCTGTGCTCTACCATGGCCTTCATGTAGCGTGAGTTGCTTTCCTCGTTTGCTGTGATTGCTTTCCGTTCGGCCCTCCCTTCAAACCTCCCTTCAAACCTCTCTTCAATTCAGACCTCCCTTCACACCTCCCTTCAAACCTCCCTTGTGCCTCTTTTCTGCCCCCCTACGCCGCCACCCCCCTTCTCTCCGCCCGTCCCTGCAGCGCCCTGCACCACAACCAGCTCTCTGGCCGCATCCCCGAGTACTTGTGCCAATCCGTGCTGCAGATCATGTAACACTCCGATCATGTAACACTCAGAATATGTAACATGCCGATCATGCAACATTTAGATCGTGTAGCAAACAGCCTGATGTTTGAGTGGGTATGCATGTAGAGTTGCCATTCCAATGCGCGAGGGGGTGACGTGCCATCTCATCTTGTGCATGGCACCTTCTCTCTTCTGTCATCTCGCTGGGGTCCTTTCATATACTTGACACATCCATCTGACCTGGCTGTTTTCCTTCCTCTCCTCTCCTCTCACATTCCCCAACTGCCTCTTGGCTCCCACCTCCCCCCTCCCCCCAGACTGCTGAGCAACAACGCCTTGTCGGCTGCTCTGCCTCAGTGCCTGCCGTTCCTCTCCTCCCTCCAGCTCATGTCCGTTTCCCCATCGCCCTTCACGCTTCGCCTTTTGCTCCGCACCCTTCACCCTTCACTCTTCATCCTTCGCCCTTCACCCTTCGCCCTTCGCCCTTCACCCTTGACTCTTTGCCCTTCACCTTCACCTATCGCCCATCGGTCCTGCCTCGCTCGTATTGCCCCTTCTCTCACCATAATCCCCTTCTCCTTGCCTCCTCACCCACTCCCAACCTCGGCCCCCCCCTGCCTCCATGCCTCTGCCAGTGACGTCAGCAACAATCTCCTCTACATGGACGCCACAACCTTCCAAAACATGCCGCCCATCCGCCTGGACATTCGCAGCAACTACCTCTACGGCTCCATCTCGCCCTCCCCCAACATCACCCTCTCCTCCTCCTCCTCCTCCTCCTCCTCCTCCGCCTCGCCCCCCCTCCCCTCTCTCCTCCTCCCAGCAGCCCCCCAAGCCCAGTCCTTCCCCCCATGGGTGGTCCTGCCTGCAGCTATCATTCAGGAGCAGGGGGCCCTTCCCCAGGGCCAGGGGGGGAGTGGAACAGCTGGGGGGGGCGGGGGGGCGGGCATCACAGTGGCATGGTTGGCAGTGGAGGGGAACTGCGTGGGGAGTGAGGGGGCGGGGCAGCAGCGGGGGGCAGCAGAGTGTGCTGCGGTTTGTGGGATAGAGGCAGGACAGGGCCCGTGTGGGGGTGCTGGTGCTGGGGAATGTGTGTTGTCACGGACATGGCCTCCCTCCCTCTCCTGCTCCTGCTCCAGCGGCTATGTTGCTGTTACTGCTAATGGCACTGCCAATACCACCACTTGCCAACTCCCGCCCCCTTCCCCTGCTCGTATGTTTTTTTTGGTTGATTCACATTCCATTCTTCCTGCGTATACTGCACCAGACTATGTTGCTGTCACTGCTGTTGCTTTCTCATGCTCCCTTCTTTGCTCCCCACACATCTGCCACTTCTCCTGTCTAGTTCCTCTCCCTCCCTCCCATTCTTCTCTCCCAACTCCTCCCCTCCTCCCCTTCTCCCCTTCTTCCCCCCCCACCCTCACACTTTCCTTGCAGCCCCCTCGTCGGGTCTGTCAGCAGGGGTAGTGGCGGGCATAGTGGTGGGCGCAGTGCTGCTCGTGGCAGCCGTCGCTGCGCTGCTCTTCCTCCTCCTCCGCCCCGTACAGAGAAGTAAAGCGGCAGTTGCAATTCGCCTCGCATCCCCTCCCATTCCTCCCGTTTTTTTTTTTTTATGTTCTCTGCATGCACCACACCTCAATCATAGCCATGGTTCCACATCAAGCCTCTTCACCTACTGACCATCTTCCACCGACGACCCCTTGAGCTGTCGCATTTCCCCCCACCACTCCCAAACAACCCCCCCCAACTCCTCCCCCTCTTTCACCTTTCCCCCTTCCACCACCCTGGGGTCAATTGATCTGGACCAGTGTGTGGCGTACCTCATAGAGGGGAAAACATAGGATTCGATCCGCAGCAAGCCTCCTAAGAGTAGATCTAAGACTAGAACTAAGTTCCAACAGCGAGAGAGGTAAGAGAAAGAATTCTCAAGTCAGAACGCCATACACAATAGGCCCGGATGTCGCGTGCGAACGCGTTTCGGCCAACAATAGGACTTCATCAGCGCAACAATGGATCTGGACCAGTGTGGGGCGTACCTCATAGAGGTCATCCACCATTCCCCCAACAACTTTGCCCTTCCGTTGTCTCAATTCCCTCCCCCCCTTCCCCCTCCCGTTCTTTCACTCCCCCCCCCATCCACCGCCCCAGGATTGTTGGATCTGGACCAGTGTGTGGCGTACCGCATCGACGACATCCGGCGTGCCACCAACAACTTCTCTGAGGACTGCTTGCTGGGCGAGGGTGGCTTCGGCAGCGTGTACAAGGGCACCTCACCTGATGGCACGCTGTGGGCTATCAAGCGCGCCAAGTTCATGACTAATGACTTCGAGAAGGAGGTGAGGGAATGGAGATGGGGGGACGAGGGGGATGGGGTACGCAGGTGGCTTCGGCAGTGTGTACAGGGGCACCACGCCCGATGGCACGTTATGGGCCATCAAGCGCGCCAAGTTCATCACCAACGATTTTGAGAAAGAGGTGAGGGGAGGGGGGGAGGTGAGACGAGGGGAGGAGAGAGTGGGCATGGAGCAGAGAGAGAGAAGCGGTAGTGGTTTTAGCAACATGCAGCAGCTCGCACTGGTGAAGAACGTTTCAAATAATATCTTGCTGAGTCTTGCTTCTGTGCATGAATCGCCATGCCTGAAGATTCAATGCCCCTCCATCCATCCCTGCTCACTTCCCGATGCGTGCGTACTCCCTCCCCCGTTCTCCCCCTCCCTCCTCCCATACCCTCTCCCCGTGCAGGAGGTGGCAACCCTGCGGCACCAGCACCTGGTGCGGCTGCTTGGGTACTGCATGGACTACAACGCCTTCTCCCCCCTTGCCTTACTATGCCGACTCCCTCCTCCCCTCCCTCCTCCCCCCTCCCTCGCTCCATTTCCCTTGTACAGGTCAGGGCAGTGGCAACGCTGCGCCATCAACACCTGGTGCGGCTGCTGGGGTACTGCATGGACTACAACGCGGCCACGGGCCACCAGGAGCAGATCCTCGTGTATGAGTTCGTGCCGCATGGGGACCTCTCGCACTACCTCGACAACAGCTCTTACGTTGACAAGCATGCCCTGGCTGACAGCGACGCCAACAGCGACGCCTACACCACCAACAAACCCCGCGAGCCGCTCTCCTTTGCGGACCTGGTGCGCATCGCCCAGGGCGCAGCAGAGGGCCTGGCGTACCTGCACCACTCGCTCACACCACCCATCGTGCACCGTGACGTGAAGCCCGCGAATATCCTCATTGACAAGGGCAGGACGGCCAAGCTTGGGGACTTTGGGCTGCTGAAGACAGACAACCTGGAGAATGCAACGATGCTGGCGGGCACGCCGGGGTACATGGACCCGGACTATGGCGACAGCTCCATCGTGACCACCAAGAGCGACGTGTTCAGGTGTGAGCTCCAGGCATGGGTACGAGTGTGAGTGAGGGATGTGTATGGGTGTGTGGGTGTGAGGGACTATGGCAACAGCTCCATCGTCACCACGAAGAGTGAGGTGCTCAGGTGTGAGCTCCAGGCATGTGGGCTGGTGCAAGTGAGGGATGTGTATGGGTGTGTGCATGGTTGCGACTGCAGCATGCATGGCTGAGGCTGCAGCATGCATGGCTGAGAGTCTGAGACTGCTAGGTGGCCTTCTGCCCGTTTGTTGGGGTGGCAACCTGTGTGCATCATGTACAGTTGTAGTGTCCTCCCCAAGGCCTTTACTCTCGTTTGCTCTCTCTACGCCCTCTCGCCAACTGACCACCTCATATTTCTTGCAAGCTCCTTCCATCGTGTGGCCGTCTCTCCTCCCGCTCCTTCACCTGCCTGTGCCGCCCGCCGTGATCTGCTCTCCCCAGCTTTGGCGTGGTGCTGCTGGAGATGATGTCGGGGAAAAAGGTCGTGCTGGAAGAGAGTGGCGTTGCCTTCAGCTACCGGCACATCTCCATCTGGGTATGCCCCGTGCAGTAGGCTGCGTTGCACGATGAACATCAGGTGCTCTGTCATGATGCACTTGGCATCGCTGCAGCCTTTTTTTTCTTTTTCTTTTTTTTTTACCCTTCAGCCTGAAATACGCAAGACACATTCTTTCTACGATGGATGCAGGCAAATGAGCTCGTGATGGCTGGAAAGATTGCCCAGGTGGTGAGGGAGGACCTCAATGCGCCACCCGATGCCATCATCATGTTTGTTGACCTCGCCATGGATTGCTTGAAGCGGCCTGGAGCCCTGCGACCGGAGATAAGAGACGTGGCACGCCGTCTCGCCGCCATACTAGCCATTGCCGAAGGGAATGCTCCTGCAGGAGATGCTAACGGTGTGAAGCAAAAGCCATGGACGGGCACTGATGGAAGCGATGAGGTCAAAGCCGCAGACGAAGCAGCAGAGCCCTTCAAAGAGGAGAAGGTTTAGATGCCAGTGTTCTTATTGGTACCATGTTTCCCCTGTGACAGACGAGTCCCTGTAAATGGGATGAGATGAGAACTCCAAATATGGAAGACAATTTTACGGCTGTTGTTTTGCATAATATTCATGTGAAAGTTTGGAATTGGACGCTTTGTACTGGTATTGTGTTTTTGCAAATCCATCAACGATTTTTGGAATTCTGTGGGACCGTGAAACCTTCCCATTGGACATTTTGCAAAGCATCTCTCCCGAAACAAGGGATGCTTTCACGAGTAACTTTGCCCCCTGTTCAGTATAGAATCTCAGATAGATTCGACTTCTTAATCAAACTCTGTACGCGGTGGTCTCTGTCAAACATCTGTATTTGTCATGTTTGTATAGACTGTATAGGGTTACCTCTTAGAGGGTACAACACTTAGGTATATTTGTGTGTACTCTCACTTTACTCAATCATTCAATTCCTTTTCTGATATGGTATCACGCGTAGGTAGGATCCCCCCCACCTACCGCTTCCGCTCATGCCCCCTAGCGCCCCTCTCAAGCCCCGTCGCGCCCCTCCCAGGCCCCGTCGCGCTCCTCCCAGGCCCCCCTAGCGCCCCTCCTGGGCCCCGTCGCGCTCCTCCCAGGCCCCGTAGCGCCCCGTCGCGCTCCTCCCAGGCCCCCCCCTAGCGCCCCTCCTGGGCCCCGTCGCGCTCCTCCCAGGCCCCGTAGCGCCCCGTCGCGCCCCTCCTGGGCCCCGTAGCGCCCCTCCTGGGCCTCGTCGCGCCCCTCCTGGGCTTCGTAGCGCCCCTCCTGGGCCCTGTAACGCCCCTCCCAGGCCCCGTCGCGCCCCTCCCAGGCCCCGTCGCGCTCCCCCCAGGCCCCCTAGCGCCCCTCCTGGGCCCCGTCGCGCTCCTCCCAGGCCCCGTAGCGCCCCGTCGCGCCCCTCCTGGGCCCCGTAGCGCCCCTCCTGGGCCTCGTCGCGCCCCTCCTGGGCTTCGTAGCGCCCCTCCTGGGCCCTGTAACGCCCCTCCCAGGCCCCGTCGCGCCCCCTCCCAGGCCCCGTCGCGCTCCTCCCAGGCCCCCTAGCGCCCCTCCTGGGCCCCGTCGCGCTCCTCCCAGGCCCCGTAGCGCCCCGTCGCGCCCCTCCCAGGCCCCGTCGCGCTCCTCCCAGGCCCCCCCCTAGCGCCCCTCCTGGGCCCCGTCGCGCTCCGCCCAGGCCCCGTAGCGCCCCTCCTGGGCTCTGTCGCGCCCCTCCTGGGCCCCGTCGCACCCTGCCCGACCCCGTCGCAGCCGCCAGGCCCCGTCGCAGCCGCCCGGCGCCGTCGCAGCCGCCCGGCCCCGTCGCAGCCGCCTGGCCCCGTCGCGCCCGCCCGGCCCCGTCGCAGCCGCCTGGCCCCGTCGCCCTTGCCTGGCCCCGTCGCAGCCGTCCGGCCCCGTCGCCCCCGCCCGGCCCCGTCCCACCCTGCCCGGCCCCGTCGCAGCCGCCCGGCCCCGTCGCACCCGCCCGGCCGCCGTCCCGCTCGCCCGGCCCCGTCGCACCGGCCCGGCCCTGCCGCACTCGCCCGGCCCCGTCGCCCCAGCCCGGCCCCGTCGCGCCCGCTCGGCCCTGTCGCCCCGTCCCAGCCCTGTCGCACCAGCCCGGCCTCGTCGCGCCCGCCCGGCCCCGTCGGGCCAGCCCCGGCCCCGTCCTCCTCACTGGTACGGTTCCCCCCCACCCCGCCCTGCTCCGTGCTGCCCCGCGCCACACTGTACTGCCTGGCACCGCACTACACCGCACTGCACCGCACTGCACCGCACTGTACCGCACTGCACCGCACTGCACCGCACTGCACCGCACTGCACCGCGCTGCACTGCCCTGCACTGCACTGGACTGTTCCTGATGGCGGCGGAGCTTCGCTTCGACGCTGAAGGTCAGCCCCTAGAGTTTGAGGCGTGGCTTGCCGACCTCCGCCGTCAACTCACTGGCCAGCGGCAGGATGGTGAACCGCTTTCCGCACACCTTGACGGTACGCTCCCCTGCCCTGACCCCCCTGCTATTCTGCCCGCTGACCCCACACCCACTGAGCGTGAGGCTACTGCTGCCACTGCCCGTGCGCGCTCTGTCTGGCTTTCTCGCGATGCTGTCGCCCAGCTTGCCATTAGCAACGCCCTTCCCCCATCCGAGCGTCCCCGCTTAAGATCCCTAACTACTGCTCAGGCATACTTAGATGCTGTGATCAAGCGCTATTCCACCCCTCCGGCTGCCTCGGTGGGTCGCCTGATCCTCCCGATGCTCTTTCCTGACCTTGCATCTTTCCCCACTGTCTCTGACCTCGCTGCCCACCTGCGCTCGATAGATGAGACCTGGCGCGCTGCCTGCACTGACCCCCAGCTTAGAGCCCACCAGCCGCCCATTACCTCTACCCTCTACCTGCTTGCCACCCGCCTCCCTGACCGCCTTGCTGTCGCCCGCGACCGCTTTCTTAGCGTTCACCCCGCAGACCTCACCCTCATTGACTTTGTAGACACCCTGACTGTGATAGAGACCCGTCACCGCTCCATTGCCCAGGCGAGCGGTGTCGTGCCGGTCCCTATCTTTCAGGGTTGTGCCCCCGCTCAGTGCACCTTCTCCGACGGCTCTGCCGCAGTGGCTGAGACTGCTGCTGCAGCGCAGGTTCGTTCCGGGAAGGGCCGCCGCCCCAAGGCTGGGCGCGGCGGAGGAGGCAGCGGGGGTGCGGGCGGGGGTAGTGGTGGGGTCGGGTCGCCTGGTCCTGGAGTGGACGAGGGGACCTTGCCCAGTTCAGCTGAGTCGCCGCCCCTGCAGGTGCAGCAGCCGCAGCAGCCGCCGCAGTCGCAGCCTTCGCAGCAGCCGCAGCAGCCGTCGCAGACGCGGCAGACGAGTGTCCTCCCGCCAGGGTGGCCCAGCGCTGGCGGTGGACGGGCGCGTGGTGGTGTGCCGCGTGGTGGCTCTGGCGGCGGGCGTTGTCAGTACCAGATCCAGACCGGTCCTCGCCGCGGCTTCGTTTGCGGTAAGCTCGGTCACTCCACTCCCCGCTGTTTTCGTCGCCTGGACGACCTCTTTTGTCAGCGCTTCGGCCCGTCGCCAGACCTCCCGGACTGGCACAGTTTGCTTAGTCGTCAGATTCAGATCTTTGATATGGACATGGATGCCATTGTTTCTGCTCTGCATGTGATGTATGCTGATGACTCTAGTGTGCTTCCCGCTTATTACTCACTGTTGCCTAGTGTATGTGTGCCTAGCTTAGCCTCCCCTGCTGCGTCAGGCGTAGGATCCCCTGCTTTGTGTAGTCTTGGTGCTTCCGCCGTCGTTCCGTCGCCAGACCCCTCGGCTTCGCTTTCCTTCACCTTGGACTCTGGCGCCTCTCGGTGTTTCTTCCGCGACTCCACCACCCTGACGCCGCTTCCTGTTCCTGCTGCCGTTTCTCTTGCTGACCCCTCCGGCGGTCCGGTAGTCGCCCGCAGTTCCACCACCCTTCCCTGTCCGGCGGTTCCTTCGGGTTCTCTTACAGGTCTGCATATCCCCTCGTTCTCCAGGAACCTAGTTGGTGTCGGCTGCCTCCAGGACCTTGGCGTCACCACTACGTTCCCTGGTCACGAGCGGTATGCTGTCTGTACCGAGGCCGCCACTGGTGCCCCCCTGTCCACGTTCCCCCGGGACCCGGTGTCCGGCCTGTTCACTCTGGACACCGTGACCCCCCCGGCTGGAGCGCCCCCTCAGGTGGCTGCGTCTACCCAGGTTGCTGCTGCCTGCTCCTGTCGCTCCCTCACTCACCCGACCCTCCTGTGGCACCACCGCCTAGGTCACCCTGCGCTCCCGCGTCTGCGTCACATGTCTCAGCACGGTCTCGTCCTTGGTCTCCCCGGTTCGCTCCCCGCGTTTCCCTCCTCTCCAGCCCCACCTTGCACGCCTTGTGTCGAGGGTCGGCTTCGCCGTGCCCCTCACTCCTCCTCGTATCCCCCTACCGCCGCGCCGCTGCAGACCCTGCACCTGGACGTCTGGGGCCCCGCCCCCGTCCCTGGGCCGCGTCGAGAGCGCTACTTCCTTGTGCTTGTGGACGACTTCACTCGTTACACCACAGTCTTTCCCCTGGAGCGCAAGGCCGACGTGCCTGGCGCTCTCATCCCCTGGCTTGTCTCTGCGCGTGTCCACCGCGGTCTCCCTGTCTTGCGTCTTCACTCAGACCGTGGTGGCGAGTTTGCCTCCGGTGTCCTTGGTCGCTTTTGTCGTGCGGAGGGCATCACCCAGACGTTCACCCTACCGGACTCCCCCCAGCAGAATGGGGTCGCTGAGCGACGCATCGGTTTGGTCATGGAGGTGGCTCGCACCTCCATGATCCATGCCGGTGCACCCCATTTTCTGTGGCCGTTCGCTGTGCGCTACGCTTCTCACCAGCTTAACTTGTGGCCGCACCCTCAGCAGCCGCAGGTTTCGCCGACCCGTCTTTGGACTGGGTCTCCTGGTGACGCGTCTGCGTTCCACGTCTGGGGCTGCCTTGCTCACGTCCGTGCCTCCGGCACGGACAAGCTCACTGCCCGCACCCTTCCCTGCGTCTTCCTCGGTTTTCCCCTTGACGCGTCCGACTGGCACTTTTACCACCCGCCGTCTCACCGCTTCTTTCACTCTCGTGACGTCACCTTTGACGAGTCTGTCTCCTACTACCGCTGCTTTCCCCACCGTGGTCCCCCGGTTACCCCCCCCCTGTTCCTGGTCACCCCTTCCCCGGTAGTCCCTGCCCCTCCTCCTCCTCCTCCCCGTCCCGCCCCCTCTGGTGTGTCCCACGTCACCCCCCTTCCGTCCGTGGACCCGGTTGAGGAGTCTTCTGACTCTGGTGGCCCTCCTGTGCAGTCCTCGCCGGCCGCCCCTCCCCAGGTGTCCCCTCCCCAGTCCCCTCCTCCACCGCCACTACCGCTGCTGCAGCCGTCGTCGTCGCCGCCGCCGCCGCCGCCGCCGCCGCCGTCGCAGCCCCCGTTCGCTGACTCTGGGGGTGCTCGTCCCGGTCGCCCTGGGGGTGGTCCCTCTGGGGGTGCTGGTGTGGAGAGTGCCGGTGGTCGCCGAGGAGCAGCTTGCGGTCCAGGTGTCACCGTTGTGCCGCCGCAGCAGCGGTCCCCGCCGGTGTCCGCCCTTCGCCTGCTCGGCCTTCCGTCCCCCGACCCTGCGTCGGTTCCTCCCCG